GTCCCTGCCAACAATCAGCTCCTTTGAATTCCATGCAGTCACCATTATCCACCCCTTCTACATAAATGTGGTTGTCATCTACCGCCCGCCAGGTAAATTAGGTCACTTCTTAGATGAACTGGATGTTCTTCTCTCATCTTTTTCTAATATTGACACTCCCTTGTTGGTGCTAGGTGACTTCAACATTTACGTTGACAAACCGCAAGCTGCAGACTTTCAGACTCTGCTTGCCTCTTTTGACCTAAAAAGAGCACCTACCTCTGCTACCCACAAATCAGGTAATCAGCTAGACCTTATTTACACACGACACTGCTTCGCTGATCAAACAATAGTAACTCCACTACAAATATCCGATCATTTCCTTCTGTCTCTCAACATCCACATTACTCCTGAGCCGCCACACACTCCAACACTGGTTACCTTTCGCAGAAACCTACGATCTCTCTCACCCAATAGACTATCCACCATTGTTTCAGACTCTCTTCCTCCATCTTGCAAACTCTCTGCACTTGATTCGAACAGTGCCACTGATACACTCTGCTCCACACTAGCATCATGTCTAGACCGATTATGTCCTCTTGCATCCAGGCCAGCCCGTGCCAGTCCTCCTGCACCCTGGCTCTCGGATGCTCTCCGTGAGCATCGCTCAAAACTTCGAGCTGCAGAAAGAATTTGGCGGAAAACTAAAAATCCTGCACAGCTCTTAACATACCAAACTCTTCTGTCTTCTTTCTCAGCTGAGGTTACTTCGGCAAAGCAGACATATTACCGTCTGAAAATCAACAATGCCACTAATCCTCGCCTACTTTTTAAAACATTTTCCTCCCTCCTCTATTCTCCTCCTCCACCCGCATCCTCCACACTTACTACTGATGACTTTGCTACATTCTTTTGCACCAAAACTGCAAAAATCAGTGCTCAATTTGCTGCACCTACAACAAACATGCAAGGTACACCACCAACACCACACACACTCACCTCTTTTTCTCAGCTCTCTGAGTCTGAGGTGTCCAAACTCGTGCTCTCTAGCCATGCAACCACCTGTCCACTCGATCCCATTCCCTCTCATCTCTTGCAAGCCATCTCTCCTGCAGTCATACCAACACTGACTCACATAATTAACACATCTCTTGACTCTGGTTTATTCCCCACTTCATTTAAGCAGGCTAGGGTAACCCCACTGCTAAAGAAACCCAACCTGGACCATACGCTACTTGAAAACTACAGACCAGTATCCCTGCTTCCATTCATGGACAAGATTCTGGAGAAAGTAGTGTTCAATCAAGTCCTGGACTTTCTTACTCAAAACAATCTCATGGACAACAAGCAATCCGGCTTTAAGAAAGGCCACTCAATTGAGACTGCCCTGCTCTCGGTCGTGGAGGATCTCAGACTGGCTAAAGCAGACTCTAAATCATCAGTCCTCATTTTGCTGGACTTGTCAGCTGCTTTTGACACTGTCAACCACCAGATCCTGCTATCTACGCTTGAGTCACTGGGCGTTGCGGGCACTGTTATACAATGGTTCAGATCTTACCTCACTGACAGGTCATTCAGGGTGTCTTGGAGGGGAGAGGTGTCCAACCTACAGCATCTAAACACTGGGGTACCTCAAGGCTCTGTTCTTGGGCCACTTCTCTTCTCCATCTACACATCATCTCTAGGACCAGTCATCCAGAGACATGGATTCTCCTACCACTGCTATGCTGATGATACCCAGCTATACCTCTCTTTTCATCCTGATGATCCCTCGGTTCCAGCTCGCATCTCAGCCTGCCTGTTGGATATTTCACACTGGATGAAAAATCATCTTCAGCTGAACCTCGCAAAAACGGAAATGCTTGTAGTTTCTGTCAACCCGACTCTACACCATAACTTTTCAATCCAGATGGATGGGGCAACCATTAATGCATCCAAAATGGTGAAAAGCCTTGGAGTAACGATTGATGACCAACTAAACTTCTCTGACCACATTTCTAGAACTGCTCGAACATGCAGATTCGCACTCTATAACATCAGAAAGATCCGACCCTTCTTATCTGAACATGCAGCTCAACTCCTTGTTCAAGCTCTTGTTCTCTCCAAACTGGATTACTGCAACTCTCTACTAGCTGGGCTTCCAGCTAACTCTATCAAGCCTCTTCAACTGCTCCAGAATGCAGCAGCACGAGTGGTCTTCAATGAACCTAAACGAGCACATGTCACTCCGCTGCTAGTCCGTTTGCACTGGCTGCCAGTTGCTGCTCGCATCAAATTCAAAGCTCTGATGTTTGCCTACAAAGTGACTTCTGGCTTTGCTCCTTCTTATCTGCTCTCACTTCTGCAGATCTATGTGCCCTCCAGAAACTTGCGTTCTGTTAATGAACGTCGTCTCGTGGTTCCATCCCAAAGAGGGAAGAAATCACTTTCGCAAACGCTCACGCTCAATCTGCCCAGTTGGTGGAATGAACTCCCTAACTGCATCAGAACAGCAGAGTCACTCGCTACTTCCAAGAAACGACTAAAAACCCAACTATTTAGTCTCCACTACACTTCCTAATCTGCAATTGCCTCTCAGAATATCACACTAACTGTACAAAAAAAAAAAAAAAAACTAATACTACTAATACTTCCCTTCATAGACTTTACAGACCTGAAACTTGTCTATAGCACTTATTCATTGTTGCTCTTGGTTGTGTAAATTGCTTCCTTGTCCTCATTTGTAAGTCGCTTTGGATAAAAGCGTCTGCTAAATGACTAAATGTAAATGTAAATGTAAATTTTACCTCACTGTAAAATTTGGGGGGGTTTTCTTGAAAGGAGTCATTTTCATAAAGGCCTGGTGTAATAATACAGGGCTAATATACACACAAAAACTCCTTCAACTGCCTGAGGTTATTTTACATAATCACAATCATGCAATTTATGCTTAATTAAATATAATTAACTCCAGTACAATCTTTATGGTGAGCTGCCATATAACGATAGCAAAACTTCTCAGTACTTTAGCCTGAAGTGTTTCAGCTCCTCTGAGTCTCTGATATTATCCAATTCAATAAGTAGAACAGGCTTTTAGGATTTTTATATGAAGAACTGAGTGTTTTGAATACTATAGTATGGCTGCACAATACAAGGAAAATTTGCGTTATATTTGCCGTGATAAAAATATTTCTTACGATATAATTATCTTTTAAAAATACTATTTTAACAGCAACAATAAAAAATGATTAATGTAATGAACAAAATAAACAGGTAATAGTAGTTTTTCTGAGCTAGTTCAATCTAAAAAAAAATAAAAATGATAGATTGTAAAAACATCACGAATGACTGAAAACCTTGGAGGAAATTCTAATTCTTATTTGCTGTTGTCATTCTCCTCTCTTGTCTCCCCCAGCATCAGTATTTATTTTCAGCTATAGCTTCACCTACTAGAGAGCTGGGGAAGAAGATAGTAAAGGCATCATCTGATTGGTTAGTTTTGATAAACAAATACTTAGCACATTAAATTAATTAATTTATTGCACTTCTTTGTGATATGGAATTGTATATACTATCATCTAATACATTGTACATTGATTTGAAAAGTGTTTACAGTTACTGATCTGATACAAGTTTTACACTTATGATATAATCCAGCAAACAATTTTGTGTTTAATAGACGTCTAATAGAGATCTAGGCGTAGACAGCTTGGCTGAAACAAGGCTAAGCTTGGGCTGTCAGTGAAAATCTAATAGACATCTAAGAATAGCTCAAAACTAGACTAGTCGTCAAATAGACAGATTAGACAGACTTTCTATGTGTAGTCTTTCATTTCTGTTTAGTTGATGACTAGTCTAGTTTTGGCCTATTCTTAGACATCTATTAGATTTTCCCTGACAGCACAAATTTAGCCTTGTTTTAGCCAGCTATGTTTAGACGTCTATTAAACATCTATTAGACATCTTTTAGAACAAAAAATGCTTGGTGGGAAGATCCCTATTAAAAATGTTGTACTGTGTTACTGCTAGTTGAAACAAAAATGAAGTGTAAATAAGCGTTGTCTCCTACAGTGTACAAGTTTTATTTTCCTGCCTTTACTAAATTCAGAAGATTCACATACTAACTATGTATGTGTAATTTCAGTAAAACTGTTTCTATGTATATATCAACATAATGTCAAATTTGTTATTAAAAGGCACACACAACCTATCAATCAATTTATTATTTTTGCACTGAGTAATAAAATAACATTATTAACCAGTATGTTTTCTAGAAAACCATTTACAGAACGTGTTGTCTAATAAGGAACAAAAGAACAGCAACGTTAAAATATCAGTTCTGCTCAGAGTGAAACAAATGGATTTTTATTTTGTTTCTGGGCCCTTATATCAGTGTGAACAAGGTGCTATATTGTTTGGCATACCATATAAAAACATCCTAGAAAGTTCTGCCCGACATTTCAACACAGTTATTCCAGACTCAACTACATAATGTAGATGAAAGGAATGTTCATTTTCTTTTCGGTTTAGCCCCATTATTAATCAGGGGTTGCCACAGCAGAATGAACCGCCAACTAATCCAGCAACTGTTTTACGCAGCGGATGACTTTCCAGCTGCAACCCATTACTGGGAAACACCCATACACTCTCATTTACACACATACAGTACACTACAGACAAATTAGCTTACCCAACTCACCTATAGCTAAGTCTTTGGACTTGGGGACACCGGAGCATCTGGAGGAGAAACCCACATGCAAACTCCACACAGAAATGCCAACTAACCCAGTTGAGGCTCGAACCAGCACCCTTTTTGCTGTGAGGGGACAGCACTAACCTGAAGCAAATATATAAAAAGTAAAACTCCTTTTCTAAAAGTACAAACATAAAAAACAGTTTACATTTTATTTTCATTGTTACAGTGTAACTAATAACCATACTTACTAGTAGTATGTATGTAGTACAAGTGTATCAAATACACCCTGAAATAAAGTGTTACCATCACACTTTAACCATGCTATCTGCTAAAATGTCAAGGTTATTACACATTTAGTATAAATCTGTGAGTTATTTTTATAAGACTAGAATTAATTTACATTAAAAACATACATTTGAAATACTGTCCCTAAATATTAATTCACAGATGAGATTTCAATTATATTTCGACAATTAAACTGGTCTAACGTTACCCTTTGAAAGAGGCATCGCAAACACTTCCCCTAAACATGTAAACAACTGAACACTAAACTGGGGGCAAAAAATTGCAACACAAAAGTAACCTTTATAGGTTTTATGAAGTTTTCATAAAGTAAAAGTGACTCAGTTGTGCCTTTATTTTGTATTCACATCACGCGCTTTGTATCATCCGCCCCTGTTTCACAGCCAGTCAGATCATTGCTAGCGAAGAGAAACGAGGAAAATGTACTGTGAACGGTCTTAGTATCGTGAAACTTTTAAAGAATTGGCATTGGCGTGTACAGTGAGAGTGTGTCTAGTTACTGATAAGAACAGACAGTTATAAAGTGAGCTTTGCCGGAAGACTTTCCTTCCAGCCAATACAGCCCGTCCTGCAGCAAACAACAGCGCAGAAAGCACATTGATTGGAGGCAGCTGACTTAAAGACATGACCGAAGTTCACATTAGTGACACATTATTCAACTGTTGTGGTGACCAAGCATTTTCTTTCGAAATGCCTTCAAAATGGGGGATTATGCTCGCTAAATCTCCGCAGTAAACAGCTGTGTGTGTGTGTGAGTGATTACCGGTGTTGAGTTTTTGCCGTTTCCGATCCAGAACAGGTAATTGCTTCTGACTCATATGAGACCTGCCAGTATGCTGATAAAGACCGGTAGTGCGCATGCGCGTATTTGTCAAGGAAACTAAATAATTAGGAGAAATTGTATTGAAAGGGAATTGTTTTGGGGCTTTATTTGGTAATGTTTCGCTTTTTTCTGTACCTGATGTATTTCCCGCATGTAGCACTGGATAATGAAGCGGAGGAGCAGAGTTCGTGTTGCGGTGATAGGAGCCGGAGCGGCGGGCCTTTGCGCTGCTCGACATGTCCTGTCCAAACCGGAAACCTTTGACCCACCCGTGCTGTTTGAAATGACCAATCATTTGGGTGGGACCTGGTTCTATGAGGAACGAGTGGGTACATATGACAATGGGTATCCCATCCACAGCAGTATGTACAGGGACCTTAGGTAAAATATAAATAAATAAAATAATATATACATTCTTATTTGAAATCTTATTGACATATTTTCAGTAGTTTATAGGATAAAACACAAATTTAATTTTACTTCAAGCATTTATTAATGGCAAACCATGAAAACTGATGATAACTTTAAAGTGTTCTCATATATATATATATATATATATATATATATATATATATATATATATATATATATATATATATATATATATATTTATTTATTTTTTCGCTGTAATTGTTTTTCATTTGTGTCAATCCTTCAATTTTATGTGACTTAAATTTGCTTTAAGGACCAACTTGCCCAAGGAGATAATGATGTTCCCTGATTTTCCCTTTGATGACCACCTGCCTTCTTTTTTGCACCACACTTCAGTTCAGCAGTATTTGGAAAAATACTGTGAGAAATATGACATTGCTCATCATATCAAGGTATGTTTTGTCTTTAATCTGAATTCTGTGTATGCAGTAAAACTAAATCCATTTGAAATAAACACAGTTAGTTGCCTCTTGTGCAAATCAAATTTTGTGAAAAAAAAGGTGATATCATTTGTGTGCTTAACAGGGATTTAGTGTATAAGGAATTCACATGTTCTTGACAAGCAAAGCATGAATGGCGTTCTACAGGAGTGTGTGGCCTAATCACTTATGACCCACTTCATGTGCAGTTGTGGCTATAGAAATGTACATTTTCTTCCTTATACACGTCCCATTCATCATTATATCTTTCATAAGGGTGCTAATGAACACACCATTGATGGCCACACACTTCTGCTGAGACAAGCTTCTGCCCAACAGTCAAAGCAGCATAATGTAGAATAGAAAAATTTAAGAACTCAGAGGAAGAATGCAAAGACGTAGGATACTATTTGGTATTAGGACTGTTTGTGATTTGAGGATCAGAATATATACAGTGTGTTCCAAATGGGATATATCGCCTTCTGAAGGGCACTTTGGAGTGAAAATAAAAATGAAGTGTTGTTCCAAACCGAAGTGATCAAAACTGTGCACTTCGAAGGGCCCTTTGCAATGAAGGATTTTGAAGGGTACAACTTATGGGCACTCGAGGCACCCTTGATGGTTTGTGCAGGGAAGTTTTTTAACAACGAACAAAGACAAAAAACAGGAAAAAGTACAATAATAAAATTAAAGAAAAAGAAGAGTTGAAGAGTTAAGACATATGACAAATCTATTTTCAAATTTAGCTGCAAATAGAAAAAAAGCTTAAGATTTTAAAATATGTAGAGTTTTTTCAGTTTTATTTTTTATTTGTTACTTAATGTAAAGGTTGTAATCCATTTATATCTTAAAATTAGTAAAAATGCAGGGAAGTTGTTTGTGCCACATGAACTGAACTGAAGGCTCAGAGTTTGACCAAAAAATGTAATTATAGTTTCATAATATTTCTTTATGCATCTACTTTAATATTAATGAATGAAGTTATAAATAAAATAAAATACAAACATGCATAAATAAATGTTTATCGTAACGCATGTTTTGTGGGCATCAACTAATGTGCGACTAATATACAAAAAGATCAACAATGGTACACCACTATGATCGACTCCTTTCCAAAGAGGAGATTCCTTAGAAGCTGGCACTCTGGAGGGTAAACCCTTTGAAGGAATTAGGGCATAGGGATGAGCCCTTCCGAATGGAACACATCAATAGTGTTTCTTCACATAGTGACATCACCAACTGGCCTGACATGCGATGCTTACGAGTTTAGTTCACCCAAAAATGAAAATTCTGTCAATAGTTACTCACTCTCATATCAATCCAAACCCCCAAGACCTTTATTAATCTTTGGAACACAAAGTAAGATAAAAAATTTGAGCGCTTCCTCATCAAAGGTTTGTTTGAAGGACTTGTTTGAAGTCCTGAAAAGTACCAAAAGGAGGTCCTTAAAACAGACCATGTGTCAGAACATCAAATGATCAGAATATTATAAGACTAAGCGAATACTTTTACATGCACATAGAACAAAAATAACAACTTTATTCAACAGTTTTTTTCCGCAGTGTCAGTATTTTGTGGGTGTTCATGAGCAGTGTGCACTGATGTAAAGCCCAGGTGCCTGTGCGCAACTTCCTCCATTTGAAACAAAACACAGATATATGTCAGCAGTAAGACCAAGAAGAATAAACTGTTATTAAGTTAAAATAATAAGTTGGTAATTTTGTTATATTTATGTGCACAAAATATTCTCATAACTTGATCATATTCTGACTGAACTACTTTTTTGAGGGTGTTTTTATATTATTACATGGAACGAATTGGGAACATTGCTGTTAGTGGAGGATCAGAGAGCCCTCAGATTTAATCTAAAATATCTTAACCCTAGTGCACTGTTTAAATTTAATACCTTTTTGTTATGTTCGGGATGAAAATGTCCATGGAATTAAACCTGTAAAAATGCATTAGATAAATAAATATAAATATATATATATATATATAAATAAAATTATTAGTTTTATTTTATTAATTTTTTTTTGCATAAATCTTTTAATCAACCTCAGTCCTGATCAAAACTACTAAATGTTTAAACGAATTACATGATTTTAACTCTTTAATTGCAGAATTCACAAATGATAACCATATTTGATGGTCCATAAATACACAGTCTTTGTTTTTATTTATTCCCAAGAGGGAAAATCACCAACAATCAAAGATGTATGATTATATGGTGTCATGGTTTTGCAATTTAAAAAAATGTGGTGATAATGTAAGCAAATGGGGCAAAAACATCCACCAACAGTAAATAAGGGAGAAAAAAATGAAAATCAATCAAAAATAATGCAACAAAGGCAATGTTGTTTCACATGTCCAATACTGTGATAAAAGGTAAAAAATAATAATAAAAATCCAGTTCACAGTTACTTTTTATATTGAAAATACATGATTTTGTGTGTATTTTTTTTTACCAAATCAGTCACATCATTTATGAATTTGACAATTAAAGGGTTATTAGATTTTTTTATTAGAAAGGTTGATTGACACATTTATGCAAAAAAAATTGAAAAACATATTTTTCTGATGAATTTTAACTGCAGTTTAATTTAGTGGATGTTTTCATCCTAAACATTTACTACAGGGTATAAAATTTGCCCTGAGCGTATCGTTGATTTCTTTAAAATTTCAAAGCATTTTCTCAAAATATGTGTCAAAATAAGATTAGTCACTAAACTCTGCTAGCTGAAACCCAGAAAAAGATATGACCATATTAAGACTCAAAATCACCCCAGAATGGATGAATACATCCCCAACAATACATAAGGGTTAATTTCTGAACAAAGGTCTCAGTGGATTGGAACAATGTGAAAGTATTTAATAACATAATTATCATTTTTGGGTGAACTAACACTTTATTACTGCATTTGCAATCATATCCATTGATTCGTATGAATGATTTTACACAACAAAACACTTTTAAAAATCCAAAGGCAAATTGTTAATTGTTGTGTAATTGTACCCTAAGTTAATTAAAGCCTAAGCCAGGACACAAACCATCCAAAGTAATTTATTTTAGGCCAAAATCATAGTATTTTAATAAATCGCCATCATTGTAACTGTGTTTTTGGGTTTATTTGGGAACTGAAGTAGATAACAACTCAATAACAATGAGAGAAGCTGAGGGTGTGGGCATTTTCATAAGTAAGCGGTAATAACTACAAAATGAATATTGATGTTTTTCACACACTGTGGCATTTAACTGTATTATGGATAAAGCATTAGGTGATAAAAGGCTATCTATCGGTCTCCATGTAAGTCTCAAAAAAGCAGTGCATCACTCAAAAAGACATTTATTGATATCTTTTTACACAGTGGCCTGAACAGCATGCCAGTCCACCTACATACAACTCTTAATAAACTGTATTAGTTGAGCTAATAGGGCGAAATGGTTCAGCCACTAGTGGTCTGAAAATGAAAATCATCGATCGGAGGTTGTAGGGGCCGCTGACCTCTGCTCACAGTCAAAGGCATCAGCGTCTCCACAAAATCGAAAGAGCCATCAAGTGTGTTTCAAAGCCTCAGTCGCAAGTATTTTTCTTACCAACGGAAGCAAGAATATTGCTTATGACAGATCGCTTTGTCCCTCACAGTTCAACACCGTGGTGGAAAAGGTGAAGCCCATCTCCATGGCAACCGAGACGGGGGGAGCTGTGACGTGGGAAGTAATTTCGCGCAGCACATGTGGAGAGCAGAACATGCAGACGTTCAACTCAGTGTTCGTCTGCAACGGGTGAGGAATGCCATCTTAAAGAGATCCTTTTATCTCGCAGACATGCTCAAACAGACACAATGGCATCTAATCTCCCGTTGCAGCTCCGCAGTGATGTTCTAAATGCATAACATTATTCAAATAGTGGCATGTTCATTTACCTCACAATATACCCACAGGCTTTTATCTCGCTGAGGTGATGTGAATAGGTATTATGCTCTGCATTCATGTGGCATTTCTGCAAGGGAATTCAGAAGACCACAGGAGCCCTTTAGCATCTCGGCGCTGACTCATTTTTCCTTGCCTCTTTCTGCAGGCATTACTCCGACCCCCACCTGCCCTACATTCCTGGAATAGAGCATTTTAAAGGTACAACAAATGATCACTGATCACTACAAATGCATAACCCTGAGAGGCCCAACCATTAGTCTCATCGCACCCCTGCGTTTTATCTCTCTGTCTCTCATCTTCCTTCATTTGTCTTTGTGTTCTTACATTGCTGTTATTTATTTATTTATTTATTTATTTATTGTAGGGAAAGTCTTACACAGCCACTCGTACCGCCATCCAGAGCCCTTCACCAATAAGTCTGTTGTGGTCTTGGGGGCCAAAGCATCTGGCGTGGACATTTCGATAGAGTTAGCCCAAGTTAACGCTCAGGTTGGTGACATACTGTTGAAATCAGAATTATTAGCCCCCCTGAATTATTATCATAATAAGTGATTTATTTTATCTTTGTCATGATGACAGTAAATAATATTTTACTAGATATTTTTCAACACACTAGAATTCAGCTTAAAGTGACATTTATAGGCTTAACTAAGTTAATTAGGTTAACTAGGCAGGATAGGGTGATTAGGCAAGTTATTGTATAACGATGGTTTGTTCTGTGGACTCTCGAAAAAAAAAATTTAAATTTAAAACAGCTTTTATTCTAGCCGAAAAAAAAAAAAACAAATAAGACTTTCTCCAGAGGAAGAAAATATCATCGGACATACTGTGAAAATTGTCTTGCTCGTTAAACATCATTTGGGGAATATTTTTGGGGGGCTAATAATTCTAACTGTGTATAAGTGTGTATACATACACATATATATATATTTATATATATTTATATATATTATATATATATATTATATATATATATATATATATATATATATATATATATATATATATATATATATATATATATATATATATATATAATTTTTTTGTTTTATTTTTTATTTTTCTTAACAAAATTAAGATTACAAAATTTACAAATTTTTTCTTAACATGCCAGTTAAAGTGGCACAGCTAGGTTTGGTTTTGAACTAGATGGTTCGTCTGAATGACTTTTTTCAGACTGGAACACTAAAGTTGTTGATTCATGCAGCTCTGGATGATGAAGGACCTGTCAAGCTACAAAAAATAACATTTAAATATTTTAAAGCAGCGTTATTTTAATATGATTAATAAATAATAGAATTTTAGTTGTAGTAATTTTGTGATTTTTTTTTTCTTTTGACTTTCACTTTATTTCAAGTAATGAAAGTGTTTATAGATTCAGTTTCAATCTTTAATCCCTGATTCAAACTGTTCTGAAGCTGAAAAACAATATTCATTTTCTTTTCGGCTTAGTCCCTTTATTAATCTGGGGTTGTCACAGCTGAATGAACCGCCAACTTATCCAGCATGTGTTTTACGCAGCGGATGCCCTTCCATCTGCAACCCATTTCTGGGAAAAATCAATAGAATGGAGCTATATAAATTATATTATTTTGTAAATGCATATTATAGATTCAATTAATATGTACATTAGTTTCATCTAATCAGAAATTGTAAGACGTCTTGAGGTTCACAAAATTAAAAAAACAGGATGATACATTTATAAATATCATTCTAAATATAAAAATCCACACCAGCACTATAACAATAACCTATTGGAACAAAATCATTGGAATCATTTGCAACGCAATGTAGAGCTGAGGAATGATAAAAACCATTGACAGTCAATCACCCTCTATTTGTTCTACATTCAACCACTTACCTGATATCTTTAATGTTTATTTCACCCAAAACTTAAAATTCTCTTATCCCTTACTCACACTTTACAGTGATTAAATAGTGAGTGAAAATTTGGTTGTAGGTGAACTACCTATTTAGGAGCTTTATGGATGGTGTGTATATATGGGCCTTTCTGATCTTAGAATCTAATGACACATAATAAACTCATGCAGTTTGTGTATGTAAAAAAATTATGTAAAAAACAACAACACTATAAAAAAAAAAACATTACAGAGAGCAGAAATCTGCCAAGCACTGCAGGGTTTATTGTTTAGAATTGGTACTGGTTAAAAAAAACATTCTTTTTGCATAGTTTTGCCTTAATTTAAAACATTTAAAATTTACACTTTTTTCATATAAAAACATAATTGTAGTTTGTAGCATCCAACTGATTAATATCTTTAATCTATATGCCACATTATGTTTAAATAGATCAGTTAGTGGAGAATTATAGGCTTTTGGTGACTATTTGCACACAATTACCACGAGAGCAATTAAACAGATAGTTCACCCAAAACTAAAAATTCTGTAATTTACTCAAACCCTTTACTTGTTCCAAACCTTTATGACTTTCTTCCTTTTGTTTAACAGAAAAGAAGATATTTTGAAGAAAGCTGGAAATATGTAACCATTAACTTACATAGTATTTGTTTTTTCCTACTATGGAAGTCAATGGTTGTCAGTTTTCAGCTTTCTTAAAAATATTTTCTTTTGTGTTCAACAGAAGAAAGAGAAAGGAAAAAAGCCACTTGAGGGTGAGAAAATTTTCAATTTTGGGCAAACTATTCTTTTAAAATTACGAAATGCATTTTCAACTGCATCTAAAAGTGGTTGAAAATAAACAAGGTCAAAATGTTTAAAACCCCATTTACTCCTGTTTTTCGTGTCATCCATTTGTAATCAGACAAAAACAAATCTAAAAAGGGACGTTTCACCCCAAAATAGTATATTAAATGCACTCACCGGCCACTTTATTAGATACACCTTCCTAGTACCAGGTTGGACTTCCTTTTGCCTTCAGAACTGCCTTAATCCTTCTTGGCATAGATTCAACAAGGTACTAGAAATATTCCTCAGAGATTTTGGTCCATATTGACATGATAGCATCATGCAGTTGCTGCAGATTTGTCAAGTACTCCATTGAATTACGATCTGGTGACTGTAGAGGTCATTTGAGTACAGTGAACTCATTGTCATGTTTAAGAAATCAGTCTGAGATGATTCACGCTTTATGACATGGTGCATTATCCTGCTGGAAGTAGCCATCAGAGAAAGGTTACACTGTGGTCATAAAGGGATGGAAATGGTCAGCAACAATACTCAGGTAGGCTGTGGCTTTGACACAATGCTCAATTGGTACTAATGAGCCCAAAGTGTGCCATGAAAATATTCCTACACTATTACAACACCACCAGCCTGAACCATTGATACAAGGCAGGAAGGATCCATCCTTTCATGTTGTTGATGCCAAATTCTGTCAAATGCCAAATGTTGCAGCAGAAATAGAGAATCATACAAAAGCATCTGGATGCAGCCTTTATGATGCAAGCTGAGATTGCATCACTCAGCGATGCATTGTCAGACACAATGCACTCAATGGAGTGAGTGATGTCACTGTGTCAGGTAGGCTTAGGGGTGGGGTTAGGTGAGTGCATTAAAAAGCGAGGCAATGTTTTTCCAACCTCCTATTTTCCAATTTTGGTGAGCCTGTGCGAATTGTCGCCTCAGTTTCTTGTTCTTAGCTGACAAAAGTGGCACCCGGTGTGGTCTTCTGCTGCTGTAGCCCATTTGCCTCAAACTTGGATGTGTTGTGTGTTCAGAGACGCTCTTCTGCACACCTCAGTTGTAACAAGTGGTTATTTGAGTATAGTATAGAACAGCCTGCCTGGCATCACCTTTCTTCGTATTCAGATGCTCGGTTTGAACTACAGCAGGTCGTCTTGACCATGTCTAAATGCCTAAATGCAATGAGATTCTGCCATGTGATTGGGTGATTAGAAATTTGCGTTATCGAACAGTTGGACAGGTGTACCTAATAAAATGTCCGGTGAGTGTATATACATATTTTCTTTTTTCTGTTGTACTCAACAGAAAATATTCAGAAAAATACTGGAAAACAGTATTAATTTACTTCCATTGTAGAAAAGAAAATACAACAGAAGTCGATGGTTACCAGTTTCCAACATTTTTTAAATGTCTTATTTTTTGTTCAACAAAAGAAAGAAACTGCAGGTCTGGAACAAGTGAAGGGGAAAAATGATGACAGAATTACTATTTTTGGGTGAACTATCCCTTTAATACAAGGCTTAAATGAAACGTTGTATCTTACTGGTTACTATTTCAAATCCTAAACGTCTACATATCTGTAAAGACAGAAAATTGACACCTGATCTCACTGTTTACAAGTGAGAATTGAGTGACTCTTCTGTCTCATCCAACAACTTATTTTTCATTCCAGGTGATTCTCAGTCATAACACACCAACTGTGTCCTTACCTCCACCTTTGGGCATCCGGCAGGCCAGCGCTGTTGTTGGTGTTTTGGAGGATGGCTCTTTACAGTTCCAGGATGGATCAGTGACCCGGGCAGATATTCTTCTCTTCTGTACAGGATACAACTTTAACTTCCCTTTCCTCTCTCCATCAGAGCTTGCCCTGGACATACAAGACCTTTTAGTGGCTCCTCTATATAAATACCTGCTGCCCCCTAGCTTTCCTTCCATTTTTTTTATTGGTATTTGCAAAATTATTTGCCCCTTCATACATTTTGACTGTCAGGTGAGCAGAGAACTTAATACAGATTGAAAACTTAGTGTGATTCGTTCTCACTGTTGCACATTTCGTTTTTATCCACAGGTTAAATTTGCTCTTGCTGTTCTGGAGGGCTTGATAAAACTGCCCACCCAGGAAGAGATGGAGATGGAGGTACATGGAGAGATGCAAAGAAAACAAGACAAAGGTGTGCAGATGAAGCACCTGCTCAATTTGGACAGGGATCAGTGGGGTTATTACCTAGATCTGGCCAAGATGGGCCAATTCACACCTCCTCTGGCTGTGCTTGAGAGTCTGTATGAGGAGGTACGCAGACAGAGGCAGAAAGACCCGCAGAAATACAGACTCCTTAACTATAGGCTCATTGACGCCACACAGTGGGAGCTTTTGGAAGCTCCGTCTGAACAAGCAGATTGATTGTTGAGAGACTAACATTTGAATGAGATTTACACACCTTTACTTTCATACCTGTAAAAAAAAGGTAGAAAGAACATCTGTAGAAATGATGAAGGAAGAAAATAGTTACTCTTAATAATTTCAAAAAGCATTTAGACAGATAGATAGATAGACAGACAGACAGACAGACAGACAGATAGACAGACAGACAGATAGATAGGTAGATAGACTGTTGTCTTTTTAAGAAAGGATATTTGATGAAATAACCCTGATTTTTCAATCTCAGCAAATGAAAATACCTGTTATTCTCACCAGTTGTCATTTCCTGAAAAAAAATCCTTTTAATTACAACATGATATTTAATTGATATTTGGAAGTAATGTTATGAGACTTTTACTTATAATATAAAACAATAAATAGTAATAATAATATTCATAAAACAAAATAACAAACAATATTAATCAAATAAATCCATAAAAATGTATCTTAATATTTTTCCAAAGCTATATTTCAGGATTATTTAGATATAATATATATTTGAACATATATGAAGGGACGAGTAATTACAGTGTATTTCTGTGTTTATCTGTCATCTAAACAACGGTTTGATCCATTTGTTAACATAATTATAATCATTTAAAATATATTTTTTAATAATTAAAGGACAGAATAAAAATGTTTCATTTATACATAAATGTTGGACTGATGGATGTAATGAATGAATGTAATGAATGAATTGGGAATGTTGGTTATTAAACTTATATTCAGATTTTATTTTCAATTATTGTCAGATTATTTATTTATTAACTATTACTTGTATTTTGACAAAACATTTAATTTTATGTCCACATATTTTAAAAACTGAATTGGTATTATTCTATAAACCTGAAGCTGATAAAATAAAAAAACTGAAATTAAATATGATATATAAAATTGGCTATTCTTACTAAACTCTCAAAGTTTAGAGTGAAATATTGTACTAATATTTAAAAAAAACACGTCCATCATAATAAAAGTGCATGACTATTTTTTGGGGTAGCGTGGGGGGTTACCATTTAATACATATCGTCTACACCGGATATGCCCAAAATAAGCCCCGTGGGCCATGGTAACCTTTGATTTGCCCCGCCATCCCATAGGGAAAATGATGTTGGGGAATGCCCAGAGTTTATCTCTTATTTAACAAAACTTTTTTTTTTCTTTTTTGTTATTGTTGAGCTACAAAAAAGCTAACTTAAATTAAATGTTTAAATTAAATGTTCAGATTTTTTTTTTTGATGTAGGCCTACATACTACAATGGACAGAGAACAACGCACAAGACAATGCAAAAGGATGTGCAGCTTAATGTTTTCAGCAATTAAATAGAATTGTTTGTTTTTATTTTATTATGTTGATTATACAATGTTTAAAAAAGCATTAACGTTTAAAGTAATCTTTTCTATTTATTTTGAAATATTATTAAATAAATTAGATAATTACCCATGGCGACTTTAATCCGATATAGTTTGTTATATTTTACAGTAACTTCGGCCCACAGCCCTCAGGTCAGGTTTAGTCTTTGGCCCGTCATAAGAAAATGTTTGGCCATCCCTGGTTTACACAAACATTTTAAAGTTTATTTTTTAATATGCCATCTCTATATATTTTCAGACTGTATAACTATGCAAAATTAAATTATTTTCAACCTTCAAACACGCTTCCCTCCTTCATTTCAGTGGTAAATGTTTGCTGACACATATTTTCAGCAAGCTACACTCCATCTAACCTCAAGGCTTCTCGAGGAACATTTAAATCTTTGCACCGAGATGCGACGTGAAGTTTACGTTAGGCTTTAAGAGGATGTGATTTTCTGCATTATTGAAGCATTGCATCACAGCTTTCATCAGCAGTGTGAACAACAAACCACAATCCCACAGACTTTCCCATCTGCTCGCGCTCTTCATCTCCCAACATGTGAAATCGGACACCTACTTTCTCAACCCTTCCCAAACAGTCTTATCTGCACTTCCAGCTGTCACTATAACAGTACACAAAACATTCACGCGCAATCCAAACTTGACCAGCAGCGACGGACTCCTCAAGTTCAGAACATATCGATATTGAAGAAGAAATTAAGAAGAAAGTAAAACTAGCCGTAAACAAGAAAACATACACGGGAAGAAACACTGACGGAGGGCGGGAGGAAAGGGAAAGCCAAAGGGGTGTTTCCTCTCCAGCAGAGGAAGGACCGAAGTTGAGAAATAAGTCAGTAAACTATACGCGAAATGTGTAAAAGCGTTAAACTTTATGTGACGGTCGCGATGTCGACGTCAGTTTTCCGATAAAAGGTGAGTGAATTAATGTCATCTTCATGATAAGAAAACAAGAACCGCAGTGGCATAACCGCGATACAACTTTGCACACTTCTGATATGGTATAAAGTGTATGATTTATGGGATAAAAACAGCTTGGTGGTTTGTTTTAAAGATGCGCATGTTAGTCATCGTGCGTCACGAAGCAAACAGAAAAGCTCCTTCACTTTGGTGTGACTGGACATCTTGAGTGCGTTTGAGTTGTTTGCTCTGAAAACAGGAATTTTAATGTAGCATGGGTTTCTCGTAAAGGTCTGGAGAGAAATTTAATGCCCCGGTGTCTAATTTTGAGGGTCATTTAATTTAATTGTGTCCCTCATGAACGTGTAAACACTGACATGAAGTAGCAATTAAAAGCTGATAACAAACTGCTCTTTTTATCTACTGGATGTAGCTACATATAATAATAATAATAATATATAATAATAATTTTATGCAAAAATGAAGAGAAAAACCTCTAAATGCCACCTTAAAGGAGCAATTTTCCGAGCCTCCTAAATTTTTGTTTAGTTATTTCGCTTAATGCAAGTAAAATAACTTATTCGACACAGTATCCACACACAGGAGTTGAAGAAAAAGCTAATTTTAGAAAGAAATATTAAATGACATTTAGAGGTTTATGCATGTAAACTCCTTAAATGTAGCCTACATTTATTTTTGGCTTCACTATGAAGTTTATGGCCTTTTTCCATGCAGACATATTTCTAAATTCCCTGTGCTGTGTTACAAAATATGCTATTTTTGATTGATAATATGCTGCAAAACTGTCAGTCCTGCTTACTCGCACTTCTGTTTACAAGTTTGGTGTCTTAAGATCACTTTTTACAGAAATTATACTTTTGTAAAGCAATAATGTGTCAAACGTAGCATGTTACAAATTGTCACCTTGGAATTAGAAGGTCCTATCTGCAATCTAAATGGTTTTGAGATATTAAGCTTTAATGTTTTTGCATTCCATATAGCAAACCATTTGTGTATAACAGTTCTCTTTCATGCATTAACATGACAGAGACCCTAAAAGTACTCTAAATGTAAATGATCAAAATTCTCTTAAGTTTGCAAGTTGGGTACAACAAACAGGGATGCAGATGGATGGAATCCTTCTAATTTAAAAAATAATAATAATCTTTTTCTGCTTGGAATTTTAAGGTTCTATCTGGCAGATCATTAATTCAAGCATTACTATTCAAGAATTGCAATCACAAAAATATATATATTGGTGTTGTAACAATATGTTGATGCTTGAGAAAGTAAAATTTTTGCTTTCTGCAACAATTATTTAATGTTTTAGAATTTTTTTTTTTTTTTTTGCTCAAATTAAGCATACAAGGCTGTGCTAAATGTTTTATCCAGTGAAGCTGTTAATTTTATGTAATTAATGTGGTAATATTTATTGAATTTTATGCTTTATATGAACTATTGAATTAAATTTATTGAATTAAATGCCCCATAGATAAAATTAAGTATTTGCCCTTCAATGCTTAAAGTAAAATTTAAAGATGTTAAAAGAAATCAGACAATAAGCAAATACGTTTAATAAACACAGAATTTTTTTTCAATGACTCTTTACACAAATAAAAATATTTCAAATTTTATTATTTTCAATTTTTTACACATATATATATATATATATATATATATATATATATATATATATATATATATATATATATATATATATATATATATATATATTTTTTTTTTTTTTGTTCCTGTTGCTTCTTTAACAATGTAAAATTAAACATTTCATCTCAATGTCAAAAACGCTTCTAAATCATCACACTGACACACAGCTTTTTAGTTTCAGGTTTCTTCTCAATTTTGTGTGGTGCACCATTACTTAGTTTTGTATTTTGTGTTTCTTTCTGGTCTTTGCCCGCTGTCAATGTAGCAATGTGAAATGACAAAGAAAGCTGATTCTGATTGTTCTCGTGCGTGCATTCAAAATGCTGATTGGCTCACAGAAAGAACCTTGTAGAGCCAAGTTAGAGTTCGAATTTGTAGATAAAGCCTTTTTTTTAAGTCTTAAAATGTAAACAACTTATAAAAAAACATCTAATAATGTAAATAAGTTGTCATTTAATGTCAATAAGTCAATTTTGACAAAAATCTCAGAAACATCCTTATAATATCTAATGTGACAAAATGTTTCTGTTTCAAATATATGCTGTTCTTTTAAACTTCATCAAAAAATCCCCCCCCCCCCTCTCATCTGCTTTAGCCTGTCTTTGCTGGACCAGCATCACTCTCCACCGGATGGAGGAGAATCCAGACAGTGACAGGTGTTATTTGAGGACCACCGATGACCCCTCACCCTCTGACCAGGGGACTAGACAGCAAAGTGAAGAAGAGTCTCCTCTGGGTGACCACGACCTTCCCATCATGCAGTGGGAAGAGTTGAGTTTGCGGATTGCAGAGCTGGAGAGGCAGGAAGAGAAAAGAAGGAAAAAAGCAGAGGTAACATCATGCAAACACTGTATAAATCATCTCCCATACTTTGTGATTATTGAGTGTTTTCAGCTTATTTCAGCTTTCACACACTGCTTCATAGGATTTTGATCTCTGTGCTGCCAACATTTGATGTCGAAAAAAATAAAGTATATTTTGAGATTTGTATTAGTTTCTAATTCAATATAGTTCTATATTGGCTGGGTTTGTTGTGTAAATTTTAGTACAATTTGGTAATTAACTGGCAGTATTCTTAATCATTTATTGCTATATATTATTTCTTATAAAGTATATAGTTTTAGTCCACTATAAATGTCAAATTTTTATCAACAAGATCCCATGATGCAATTTGAAACTGTAAATAAATGGAAGGCATGTGTGAATAATGAGCTATGAACAACTAATTATCAGTTTATTACCGTGTAGATTTATAGACATTAAATACACAACATATTATACTCTAATAGCCAAAAAAAAAGAATAATTAAGGGTTATTTAAGTTTCTTATTCTCTTCAAGACATAATCAGAAAACTCTATTTTAAACAAACATTTTTTAGGATGCTTTACAACATGTATATAATTTTGTTGATATTTTGTAGTTTGTCTTTTTTTCAATATTTCACATGATGTATTATCTTTCCATTTCTAAAGATGTTTGGTGACTAAAATGTTATTTTTTTGGTGACTAAAATGTTATTTTAATAAATATATCTGTTTATTATATAATATTAATTATATAATATATAATATAATATGTTCAAATGCTTCAAAATATTACCTATAGTCACTGAGAAATGGAAAAAATATGGTATATATTAGATCTATGTATATTAAAATGTAATCAATTCTTTTTTTGGCTAAACAAATAGAATGTATAAATTAATAAATTGATTTTAAAATAATATAAAAATTATATAGAGTTATATAAAAAAGTAATTACATAGTTATATAAAATAAGTCGTCACCTTGGAATTATAAGGTTCTATCTGACATTTTTGTCAAAATTGAGTTATTGACATATTCTAATTAAATGACAACTACTTTAAGCCAAAATTATTTTTCAGTATAACAGATGTAAAACGTAAACATATTTATTCTGACCTGAATATATTAAAAGACTATGAGACTGTACAAAATGTTATTATATTATCAGTTATTAAAACTTAAAGGGCACCTATTTTACCTCTTTTACAAGATGTAAGATAAGCCTTTAGTGTCTCCAGAATGTATCCGTAAAGTTTTAGCTTGAAATATCCATCAGATTATTTATTATAGTCTCCAGAATCTGCCCATTTTGGTGTCTGAGGGCTATGTAGCTGTTTTTGTAGCCTGTGCCTTTAAATCTAAATAAGCTACTTCTCTCCACCCACTGTTCCCACATGCGTGTCTGCTTCTCATGCATTACGTCAGATAAACAGCAGTCAGTGACGCAGGCAGACATGGATGAAGCTGAAATCTAGCTCATTAATCAAAAATACTAAGTAAGTTTATTTGATGTTTTTGTGGTGGAGTTTATTCAAGCCTTTCTGAAATGATGAGTCACACTCAAAAATGCCTTTTGCACTACATGCACATATTAGCATTCACTGACACCATAAGGCAGTGGCGATTATAGTAGTTAAGAATTAGATAGCGATTTTAGTGTGTTTATTACCAACACGCTCTGTTTTAAAAACGTTTTACTCTTAAAAACTTATAAAAGTCACAAAGAATTTGAACAGATATTTTAATCCCAGTTTCTTAGCAAAAAATGTTCTGTTGACCTGTGTATACATGTTATTATAGAAACATAGCACCTGTCAATCAATTCGGTGGGCAGAAAAAATGAAAAGGGAAAAAATCAGATAGAAAGAAACCAGTCAGTGATAAGGTATGACAACAATGCTAGTGATATAATGATATATAATAGTGATAAAATAATAATAATAAAAATAAATGACAAGTACTACACTAACTACTACTACTACTACTACTACAAAGAGTTTCTAATGTTACAACTATTACTACTGCTACTACAGCCACAACCACTACTACTACAATGTCTACTAGTACTGATACTATTACAACGACTACTACCACTGATACTACTACAGCAATGACTGCTTCTACAACATCTACATCAACAACGTCTACTACTTCTGATACTACTTCACCGACAACGACTACTACAGATACTACTTCAAAAACCCCAAATAAAACCGCTAGTACTACTATGACTACTACTACAACTACTACAGCAACCTGAATAATGACAATGGTAGAAATACTTGTAATAATGAAAATGAGGAGATAACAGGACAAGTCAGGACAGTAATAATAATAATGATAACAAAAGAGAAGTACTAATATTAATAATAATAGTGAGGAGGTGAGAGGGGTTGGGAATTCAGGAAGAGGACATATAATAATAATAATAATTTGTAGAAAAAGGAAAGAGAAGAAAATAGAAGAAGAGGAGAAGAAAATTTTGAAAAGGAAGGCAAAGAAAGAGTAGAAGAAGAAAATTAAAATAAATTAAAGGAAGTGAGAACAAATTGCAGCAGACAAAACAATGAGAATATTAAGAGAAGAAAAAACATTACTATTATAATGATAATATATGTATAGTAAAAAATCTAAGTAAAGAATAATATGAATATAGAATGAAAAGAAGAATTTAGGTAATACTATGATGAATTATTATTAATAATAACAACAATAATAATAATAATAATAATAATAATAAAAACAATGAAAGATCAAGAGAAGGAAGGATAAACATGATACCTATAATATACTAACGCCACTAATAATAATTATAATAATAATACTAATAACAATAATAATAATAATAATACAACAACAGCTTTAACAATAATTTGAGGGGGTGGAATATATAAGATCAGCATTGAAGTGTACAGTGTTTGTCAGTTGCTTTGTGATGCATTAAAAAAGTATGACGTGTGGCATTGATCAGTCCAGTGCAATGCCCAGGCCGCCATGCCCACGCCACACTTACCCTGTGAGTGTAGTATATGTAAGTATATGCAAGTAGGAGTTTTTTTAAATTTATTTTAATCAAATAATTGTTATCGTTAAATCTGTTGTTGGACTGGTCAGGGGAAAAACTGGTGAAACCAGGCCCCACATCGCACACACCTCTGTCTTTAACACAACCTTTACCTTTAAAACTATTTGAAACTTGGGTGTTAATAAATAAATAAATAATAATAGTAAAAAATTAACAAATAAATTTGATAGAAACAGAAAAGGAGAATGAATAGAACAAAAGGGGAAATAAAGAAGTATGTAAATTACGAATTATAATGTGGGGTAGTATTAATAAGATTAATACGAAATACTTTGTTTTTTTTTCTTTTAATTGATTTATTTTTAATTAGATTTGATATTAAAGACATCTTTTTTTTTACCTCTACCAACATCAGGAAATTTTTAGAAAATGACTTGTGTTTATAGCACTCCACTATACAAACAGACAATTCTGTTCAAACAGCTTTCAAAAGTTGATTTTGCATGATACTGTAGGTGCCCTTTAACATACTTAAAGATTATTAATACTAATATTTTTTTGGCATTTTTTATCATGTAAATCAGGGTAAAAATGCGTAAGACACATTATTTAAGGAAAAAAATCCAAAACATTTTAAACTGTAAAGTCTTCATTGTGTTTCAGAGTCTGGGTCTATCAGAGCGAGACCAAATACTTGGATGCTGGAACGAATCAAAACACCATTCAGTCCACCGGGAGCCATGGGCAGATGAGAACGACTACAGTCCTTGCCGAGTCCCTGTCATAACCTCACGGTATTCCACATGGTCACATTTACAAAGTTAAGGCGCGTCTTTTAACATGCTTTATTTTCAGATATGTGCTCTGCGCTTCCATCTGGCAGGTTTAACAGCCCTAAAAATCTTCAGCTCTGTTTCATCAACAACAGCGAAAGTGAGGAGGATGAAGACGAAGGCGCATCAAGCAAAGAGGTGCATAGGAGTTTACCAGTTTTTCAAAAATACATTTAAGTTGTTATGATTGATGATGTTTTTTGTTTTTTTGCTGTTGTCCTCAGAGCTCATGTGAAGCAGAGGTACGTGGGAGTTATTCTGCAGGGCTAAAACAGGAAGTGAAAATAGCACTCAGGGCTCTCAGAGACGAGCTTTTGGCCGAACAGAAAGAGAAAGAGGTGAGAGGTTTTAAAGACACTGTTCATCCAACAGCATCATATGACTGTTTTTCTCCCCGAGAAACACTAAAGATGATGTTTTAAAGAATGTGCCGGGTGGTTTTTACATGCGGTTACAAAAATGTGGAGCTTGTAATGGGGATGGAAGCTTTCAAGTATCTGAATGGATTCAGGAGCTCCTTAAGAGTATCATTCAGAGTATTTACTATTGTGTTCCGCAGAATAAAGTTACACAGGATCACATAAGGTGAGCAAATGATGACAGAAAACAGCCTTGCTTCCGGAAGCATTTTTCTACCATCATTTTCTCCACAAAGATGTTTGGAGTTGAATCAGACCAACAGGCTCTGGGATGATTCACATCACAATCTTTTCCCACACACTCTCCCTCTCTCTCACACACACTCACGGTGTACTTGTTTTTATATCTAGGTGGGGACTTAAACCTCAATGCACACGGACTCATGGGGACCAAAATTGAGGTCCCAATGGTCAAACATGCTTATAAATCACACAGAATTAAGTATTTTGAAGATGTAAAAGGGTTGGGGTAGGGGGAGAGAATGTACGGTTTGTATTGTGGAAACATCACACTGCAAAAAATGCTTTTCTTACTTAGATTTTTTGTATTGTTTCTAGTCCTAATATCTACAAATTCTTAAATCAAGAAGCATTTTCTAGACAAGCAAAACATATTGTCTTGTTTTAAGAAATAATATGCCAAAATGAAGTGAATAAAAACAAGACAATATGTTTTGCTTGTCTAGAAAATGCTTCTTGATTTAAGA